TGCAAAGGGGGGCGCCGAGGTGAGCGCCCCTCCCGGCGTCGGCTGCCGGGGAATTCGGAGCGGCGGAGGGAGCGAAAGCCGCGGTGAGATGGGCAGCCTGGAGCAAAGCCCGCTCCCGCCGCTCTCCAGGCTTTTATCAAACCAGAAACATCACCAAATATTAAATTATATGACTATTCAAATGTCTTGGCAAGGTGCAAACACCGTGATATTAAACGTGGACACTGCCCTCCCAGTCCTAAAAAAAAAAGCCCTGCTGGGGTGCTAAACTGGTTTTCAAAGACTTATTCCCTTATTTTATTTCCAGTGTTGCAATTCCCAGGAGCGCTCGCCAGGCTAATGGGAGAGCACGTGCTCTTTGCCCTTGTTGGACAGGCTGCAAAATGGCTCTCGGCCATCGCCAGGCACCCTTCTATTTTGTAATTTCCATGAATTCAGGTGTTTTCCTTTAGAAAGGGTTTCTAAAGGAAATCCTTTTTACGTGGGGGAAAAAAAAAAAGGTGCTTTAACGTGAAGGTCTCTGGATGGTCCCAGAGCGAATCCGCTGAGAGCGGAGGAATGAGACCGATACAAAACCCTCACCGTTAAGATTGTTAAAAGAAGATAGATTCAGCTTTTCCTTCCAAATCACAATATTTTGGGCTTGAAAAGCCCACCTGCCTGCGTTTACCAAGAACAATTTCTTTTTAATTTGGCCACCAAAATGACAAGAGCCTTTTCTATCCCCAGCTCTGATTTCTTCTGCCAACACTTGGAGCAGAATTGCAGTGTTATAATTATAGCTGGGTGGGTGATTATGCGATTTTTAAATGATGAAGCTTATTTTATGCTGGAAAAAGACTCAAACACCTTGATGGCTTTTTTTCTTTCCCCTCCAGAGGTCCATACTATTTTCTGTAACACATATTTCTTAGCAGCGCATCTCTCTCATTAGGCTGAGCTTCACATGGAATTTTTGATACCTCTTTTTTAAGGTGGATTTGTTCACCGCCGCTCCTCCTGTATCATTTTGCATTTTTTTTTTCCCCCTTGATGCACAAAAATCAATTTTTTTTGATAGATCTTCCTGTTTAATGATCTTCTAAGGCTATGCAGAGCGATAAACCCCCACTTTGCTTAAATTTAGGGAGTTAAGGGAAGTATTTTAGGGAGCAAGCCTTGCCCAGGGTGGGAACAGCCCAGCTCTGCAGCTTAATTCAAGGTAAGGAGCGGTGGCTCCCGGCATGAAGCAACAGGCAGGGCACGCAGTGCAGCCTATAGCTATACGGCCGTGCCGTCAGAGCCACAAACTCCTCTATAAGCAACCTGAAGCATCACTTGTCGGCTCCCCAGTGAATAAGGCACTTGTGTTTGAGCCTGAATTATTCATGCTGACTTCACCAGTTAAGCAAAGAGGAAAAAAAAAAAAAAGGGCTTTTTCATAATTACAGCAAACAGTAATTTTATCAGATCAGAATATGATAATAAGTGAGTGAAAAAACCAGCTCCTTCAGATGAAAGGGCTTGCCGAGGTATTGGGAAGCATCTGAGGAAACGGATATGAAAGGGCTGCTGAGGCATCTGAGGAGCCGGGTAATGAACACTAACAGCCCCGAAGGTCTCGCAGCCACGTACGGCTGCAAACTGAAGGCAGAAAGACCCTGCTCAGCTCAGCAGAGCCGCTTCCCGGTCACGTTTTGGCATTACCCGCATCCTTTGGTGGCCACCAGTTCCTGCCAGGCTCCTCCCAACCTGCTGATGGAAACCCACTCACTGGCTCCTCCGTGGCTAGTAACAAAGATGCATTTTCCATGCCGTTATCCCAAATTAAGAGTGGCTCTCTGATGCTCAGGAGGAGAAAATCTGTTGTTCCCAGCAGCAACCTGCCCAGCCTTGCTGGTGGGCTCCAGCATCCCCCTCGCTGTCTCAACATCTTCTGCATTAAACCATTAATCAA